ATCCAGCTGAGACCATTCCTCCTCAGAGAAATACACAGCCACCTCCTCGAAGGACACAAGACCATCCTGGACATGGAAAAAAGAAGAGAACAGGAAGATTCACAAGATCTGTTCATCTTCATTGATTTAGACAAGAGGATAGAGGGGAACTTCAAATTTGCAAACAAGACCAGATTGACAGGAATACCAATACTCCAGAAGATAAGCTCAAGATATAGAAGGATCGACAGATTGGGCCTCATCTAACAAAATAAAATCAACAGTGAGAAATGTAAGGTTCTACATTTAGGAAAGGAAAACCAAACGCAATGTCATAGAATAGGTGATACCTGGCTCAACAGTAGAAATTGCAACAGGGATCTTGGAGTCCTAGTGGACAACCACTTAAACATGAGTCAGCACTATGCTTCAGTTGTCCCCCCAAACCACCAACAGAATCATAGGCTGCATTAAGAGGCATAGAATCAAGATGACATGAAGTGTTAGTACCACTTTATAATGCCTTGGTAAGACCACACTTGGAATATTGCATCCAATTTTCATTGCCGGATGTAAAAAAATATCTTGAGACTCTAGAAAGAGTGCAGATAAGAGCAACAATTATTATTAGTGGACTGGAGGCTAAAACATAAAGAACGGTTGCTGGAATTGGATATATCTAGTTTCATGAAAAGGACTAGGGAATGACATGATAGCAGGGTTCCATGAATCAGTGGATGGAAACTATTCAAGGAGAGAACCATTCTACAAGTAAAAGAAATTTCCTGACAGTGGGAACAATCAATGGAATGACTTGGCTCCAGAAATTGTGGGTGCTCAAACATTGGAGTTGTTTATGAACAAATTGGACAGCCATTTATCTGAAATGTTATAGGGCTTCCTGTCTGAGCAGGGGGTTGGACTATAAGATCTACCTACCAACTCTATTCTTCTGTGCCATTGTTCCCAAATTCCCAAAGCTGAGATGTGCACTAAGTTAAATGGCTGTGGATCACACAAGGCCTAATTTTAGGTGAGCAAATGGGCAAAGCTGAAAATTGCTTTCACTGAAGACATATTTGGGGAAGTTTTGCCAAATTGATTGATTGATTGATTCTGCAAAACCTTCAGTGCCTTTCAGTAAAGTAATCCCACTTCTGGATCAATTGATTGACGTAGTAGTCTGAGCCATTGACTGAAAGGAAGAAAGCAAAGAAGAATAAATTTCCTGGGAAAGTCATTTCTCAGCCTTTGCAAAGCGAGAATGTTTGATCTCCTAATTGAGGCACAAATCAGAGGATTGGAAATTATTTTCTAGCCCAAAGTACCGTGATTACATGCTCAACATGGCCACTCCCTTTGGATTTTAATAGTCTGCTTTATTTTTTAATATGATTTGCTTAATTCTGAATTCCAGGTTGTAAATAAGGCTTTTTAAAAATTGTAATGTGGCAGTGAATTTATTTTTCATTAATCTTGCACAATTCCAAGTCAAAGAATAACCCCAAAAGGTCTCTAGCAGTTCCTGCCACTGTGATATGTTTATTCCTATTTCTTGAAGGACCTTTAAAAAAATGGTTATTGTAAACTCCAAGTTGGAGGAGAACCTAGCAGAACAAGATAACCAGAGGAAGCTATGCTGGCCGACAGCAACTTGAACCTGCTATTCTGGTCTCCATGTTGTGGAAGAACACAAAAATAATCCAGGCCAAAAGAGGGGGGAAACAGAAGGAGAGAGCACTATGCACACCCGCTTCCCTTCCTGAAAGGAGAATACAAATCTAGTATCCTTTCCCTTTCTTACTTGGTTTGGAGGTTCAATCGCTGTTTGGTCTCCGTCATAAAAACCAGAAAGCTTCATTCTTTGCTCCTCTGTAAGGAATAAATCATTTCAAAATGCATAATCAATAAAATAGGAGGAAGTATTCTATAAGAAAAAAGAGAGCGAAGGGAAGACAGATGGGGAATTGGAGGATCTTCCATTACCTCCGGAGGTGTCCTGACTTTGGTCTTCCCAAGGGATCCTCCTGAAAAATAGCTCCTGAGGGGGATTTGATGGGTTCTTCTTTCCCTCAGGATCTCTGATCTCCACACTGCAGCACTTCAAATAGGAGGAAGAAAGAAAAAAGCAGAATTAATGTACATCACCAGAAATAAAGTGGATTCTAATACTTGGAACACCTCAAAGCCCCCAATATCCATCCATGTGGCTGTGTGAGAAAACAATGGAACAATGTCCCACCAGAACTGGAGAATTGCCACATATTATGAACATGGGAGAAGTTTGGGAAGGAGGGGTGAAGCATTCAAGCACTCCCTCTCTTTATTCCCTTCCAAGCTCCCTAAAGTCTCCCACCTGCCACTGGAGCTGCTCCTTCTGCTCCTCCGCCTGGCTCAGGAGGAAGCCTTCCGCCAGGGCCACCGCCTGGGAGCTGCTCTCTGCTCCACACTCCCGCACCCAGTCCTCCATCTCTGGGGGCAGGAAAGCCAAGAGCCGCTCCAGAACCACCAGGTCCAGCATCTGGGCTTTGCTGTGCTTTCCTGGCCTCAGCCATCGCCTGCACAAGTCATGGAGTCGGCTGCAAAGTCCTCGGGGACCCTCAGCCTCCCGGTATTGGATGGAGGTCCAGGGCAGAACTTCTGAACAAAGGATGGTTCCCTCCTGCAGGACCTTCTGCCCGGTTTTGGTCCAACACTCCTCACAGCTCCCAGGCTGAAGAACCGCGGGGACTTTTCCACTCCCCTCCTTGGCCAAAGGGGGCGTCTCCATCCTTCCTCTCTCTGGCAGAGCAGCTCCACAGGGCTCCAGGGACTCTGGGGGTCTCCAAGGGCCTCTTCCTTCACGGCACCATTTCTGGGTTCACAGGACGGATCCCTGTTGGTCCTACCGCTGTCTCTCCCTCTTCCTTCCTTCCTCTGTGGAGTATATCCTGGCTTGCAAAGGCTGTTGAAGGCTCTGAAGTTCTGGAACTGGGAGGGAGAGAAAAACGGACGCCCAGGATCAGAAAGGGGGATTCAGCCCCTGGACCCCCTTCTCCTAACCTGCCCGCATATCCAAGCGTCTCCTCCCAGCGCAGGGCCTAGGAGCCCCCGAGCAGGGCCTGGAAGGAGGCAGCTGGAGTGGCCGCCCCCTTCCCGCCCTCCGGAGACAGGATCGGGCTCTCGGGGAGCCCGTTTCGAATCCTGCCTCCTCCTCCTCCTACTCGGCCGGCTTCTATCCTCTACTGCTGGGCCTACGCCAGGCCCACCCACCCCTCCCGCATGGAGAGGGCGGCTGCAGAGCATAGGATCCGATAAGAGCCCCTCACCCGGGGTACGTCTGAATGTCTCCCTGCAAGATTCTCCCGCGGGCTGTCTGACTGCTGCAGCGGCCCAGCGAGTAAGGAGAGCGAGTGCGGCGTCCTAGAGAGGCACGGCTCAGTGATGTCAATTCCTTTGCCGCCTCCTCCTCTGGGAAGGCAGCCGTGACATTCGCCCTCTTGTGGCCCAAAGGGCCTGGAGTTGCCTATTTTGGCGGAGGGCTCCCCCTGGTGGATCTGGGGCAAATTACCAGGATGGTAGAAAGGGAAAGAGGAGCACATCGGAAGGGAGAGGGCGGGGATGATGGGCTTGGGAGTAGGAGGAAAGGCCCATGTACATGGGTCAATGTCAGACAAAGGCTTCCACGTCTGTGCTTCTTTCCCCCCTTTTATATGAACCCAAATGCCTCGAAGGAGGTTTCATCTTTCTTCTGTGGCGATTCTAGAGCGGTTTGGTTATTTCTCATGTATAAAGTGCAACGCCACCTCCGCCTCTTTCATTAGATCCACTTCTATATTTATTTAGAGGAGAGGTGAGAGAAATCTTCTTTGTGACAATCCCTGAGATATTGGAAGATGCCCCCATGTTTCCCCTCGGCCTTCTTTTCCTCAGACCAGACACACCCAGTTCCAGCAACCAGTTTTTAAAATATTTTTTAACCTCCATCTTTATTGCTCTTCTCTACAGTCTTTCCAGAGTCTCAAGATCTTATTTATTTATTATACAAACACAAAGAAAAATAGAAATAGGAAGTTAAGGGAAGGAGAAAGAGGGAAAAAGAAAGTCTGGGGTACAAGAAAAAAAAAGAGGGGGGATGCTGATTTCTTTTTAGCAGAGTGCTAGATTTTAAAAAAATAAACCATTCCAGCCTGACAATTCAATCTAATGGACAAAAGCAAGGTCATTTAGGGTCTTTTTCTTTTGAACCCTTTAAATGTGAAAATATCTCATTTAATGGCTGGAGAAGGAAAGCGCACAAAGGTCCCAAACACCCCGTTGTGGTCGAGTGAGGGCGGGCTCCCGTCTGAGAGGATCTGCGCTCTGATTGGTTGCTGTGGATGGAAAGGGGGCGTTTCCTTTTTTATTTGGGCTGTTTGAGTTTTACCTCAGGATGTTCCTGACTGTCTTCTCTGCTGTGAATGTTAAATATATATTTATATTGATATAAAACTACATGTTTGTGTCCATGTCTCCCGCTTCCTTTGGGCAGCAGCTGTGCGAATCCCCCACATTCAATATCCTTGGTTGCACCTGCCAGTTGTGGGTTCCTATTTTACCCCATGAAAGAAAAATCAGGTCCAAGAAGGGAAGAAAATGGAGGCTGCTTAAGAAAGGAGCTTTATTGACTGGCAGAACCGAGAACAGCCTGCAGTTAGAAGAGAACAGAACTGGAAGGGATCTGGGAGGTCATCTAGTTCAGCCCCCTGTTCAGGCAGGAGAACCTCCAGCATTCCAGACAAGGGGCTGCCCTGCCCGGTCTCTCCTTCAGGGCCTCCAGTGAAGGAGCCCCCACAACTTCTGGTGGCCAGGAGTTACACCAGCTGATTGTCCTCCATCAGGAAGTTTGCCTCCAGATCTCCATGCTTCTTCTCTCCCCAGAGTTTCCCTCGTTGCTTCTCGTCTTCCGGAGGAGAGCTTGGCCCCCTCTCTCCTCTGGGGCAGCCCCCCCAATACTCTCCTGAAGCAGCAGGGAAAGGAGCCAGGTGAGTCAAGGATTTTTGTGCTGTTTTCGCCGCGTCTGGTGATCCGGAGGCTCCTTTGGGGGGTGTTTTGTCCTCTGAGGAGGCGGTCAGGGCTGAAGCCGCGCCTTCCTGGGGTTCCCCTCAGAGAAAGGCCATTCTTCTCTCCATCTCCCAATCCCCTCCATCCCCTCTTTTCCTCTTGGGGAGGCTGCATGCCAGATCTCCTCTGCCACCTTTGGCAACCGCCGCGGGCATCCAGGCTTCCCAGGCGAGAGCCAAAGTTTCTCCTGCCCTCCAAGCCCAGCCAGGCACCGCTTTGCCTGCAGCTCTTGTCCTGCAGCCTTGGCAGAGGGGGGGGCACCCCTGAGATGGTGGCTTTTCCCTCCTTGTCACCTCCAGCGGCTCCTGAGTTTCTTTTCTGGGCTCCTCGGTTCCTTTTGGGGTGTGGAGAAGGGGGGGCTTTGGGGGGGGACCTGCATTTCCTTCCCCTGAGAGTCTCAGGAGTGAAAAGAAGAATAAAAAGGAGCCTTTTGATTCAGGGGCGCTTCCTGCTCCAAGGCTGAAAGAGGCGGAGATTCCTGGGGAAAAAACTCCAGATCCGCCCTTTGATACGAGCGAAGTTCCTTCCAACCTGTTTTACATATTTATATATTTTGTTTTTCTGCAGAAAAAGATATATAGATTCTTATACGGCTTGAGAGGGTGGGAAGATAGCAGATTAACAGAGTTGGGAGGGACCCTGAAGGTCATCTAATCCAACCCCTGTGGAAGTTCTCCGAGGAAAGGAGCCGGAAGCGGAGCAGAAAGGGCCAAATTTTACTCCAGGATCTCTGTTCGGGGCCGCCTTGCGAGGAAAAGGGGTTCCTCCTGACTCACAGAAGGAAGGAAAGGTGGGGATTCCTTTGCATTTGGGTCGAGGGGCGGGAAATCGGAAAGAACGGAATATACAATATATTAGTTCAGAAGATAGAGCGTCCAGAAAGAACAGGAGAACCAATGGGAATCCTCCCTTCTGAAACGTCATCAGTCTCCGGGCTGAGTCTCCCTTGATTTCACCCGATGGAGGGAGAGAGTTCGGCGCAGAGAGAGAAGCGGAGAAAGTGGGAGGGGGATCCTTTCAGTTTTGGGGGGCTGCATTCTAGTGGGGATTAATGCTGACTCTGGAGGGGAGGGTGGTCTCCCTTTTGCGCCCCCCTCCCATGATTCTCATTTAGTCCCTCTTTCTCTGTGCTCCTGGAGGGGCGGACTAGATGCCCTTTGACTTCCTGCAGTGCCCAGAGGGCGCCCAGGCTGGAGCTGCTGATTCTCCAGATGGGCAAAATAGAGCCAGAGCTCGAGGGGTCCTTCAGGCTAACCTCCCCCCCGCCGCTCACTCTTGGAGGAGGGAGTCCCCAGCAGCTGTGCTGGAGGACAAGGGGGGAGGCACAGCCCCACAGTCAGCCAGGACTTTGGGGTCGCACACTCCCCCCAACCCGAAGGGAAGCCAGGAAAACCCTCGGTTGAGAGTCCATGATAGAAGAGGTGGAGAGGGATCCCTCCTAATCCAGCCGGACCCTCTCCTCAGCCCCCCTCCCGCTCACAGGGGGGGGATTTCCATAGGGATCTCTTGGCTTTACAGAAAAAAACAGCGTTTTCTGTCCTTGAAACCCATGTCTCTCTCTCCCCCCCCTCAGCCCCCAATGGGAAGGCATCTCCACCTTTCTTTCTGGGGGTAAGGAAGGATCCCCCTTTTCCTTGCAAAACAGCCCCAATGGAGATCCTGGAACAAAGTTTGGCCATGTCTCCTTTCCTCGGACAATTTCAACATCCGACCATCATTTCAAAGTGCAATAATTGATACTTTCAGCAGAAAAAAAGTATACAAAGGTTCATTTTGGGGAGAAATGGCCAATATAAAAATGTGGACATAGAAATTGAATCGCCATGAACATTTTTTCCTTAGAAATTTGCATATCTCGGCTGTGGAATAGGAAGCGCTGCTAAAACAAGGCTCCTTTTTCTAATGGTTTTTCTTAATTATTTCTTAATTATTATTTTATTATGGTGTAAAATAGGAAAAATACAGCAAGTGAGGTAATGAGAAAGGGGAGGGGAGGAGAAATGTGAGAGAAAGGAGGGAGGAAAAGGAAAAGGTTTTTCGGCGCGGTAAAATACAAAGTGAAATTACAGTCTCAATTTTTTACTTCTATTATACGTTCTTACTAAATTTATTACATTTCTATTTTTAAAAACCCCACATTTAACCAGAAAATCCCAATTGAGACTTCATTTTTTTCTACCTCAAGCACAAAGTCCAGATATTTTAGTATTTTAGTATTTATTTGATTTGTCAATCACTTACAAGATACAGGTATAAGAATAAACATAGTTTTGAATACATGAGATAGATACTTATAAGAAAAATAAAACAATGGGACAGGGACGGTAAGCATGATTGGTGCACTTATGCACCAATCTACAGGCCTCTTAGGAAGGGAGTGAAGTCAATAGTAGACAGTCTAAGGTTACAGTTTTTGCGATTTGGGGAAGAAACCACAGAGTCAGGTAGAGTATTCCAAATATCGAGCACTCTGTTGCTGAAGTCGTATTTTCTGCAGTCAAATTTGGTGTGATTAACCTTGAATTTGTATCTATTGTTTGCTCTTGTGTTGTTATGGTTGAAGCTGAAGTATTCATTTGCAGGTAGGACATTGCAATGTATGATTTTATATACTATATTTAGATCGGACTGGAGGCAGCGTAGTTCTAAGTTTTCTAGGTCTAGAGTTTCAAGTCTGGTGGCATAAGGTATTCTACAATGAGTAGAGGAGTGGAGAACTCTTCTTGTGAAATATTTCTGGACTTTTTCAATTGTGTTAATATCAGATACGTGATATGAGTTCGACTGATGAGCTGTATTCAGGTATAGGTCTAGCAAATGTTTTGTATGCTCTAGTTAGTAGTGTGATATCACCAGAGAAAAAGCTACGCAGGATTAGGTTAACAACTCTTAATGCCTTTTTGGCTATATTACAGTGGGCTCTAGCACTTAGATCATTAGAGATGAGTATTCCAAGGTCCTTGACAAAGTTTGGATCCTCAACAAGGTCTTGACTATTTAGCTTGAATTCTTCAGGTTCTTCTATACCTTAATCCAATTAAGTGGAGTGGAATGAACCAAACAGAAAAAAAATGTAATATTAGTCAAATAGAAAAAACTTATAATTAATGAAAAAAAGGAAAAAGATAAAAAAAAGCAAAAAAAGAAAGCAAAAAAACCCACACCAATGTAAGGGAAAGAAAAAAACTATTCCCTTAAGAAAAAGGGGAAAAAATAACTTTCCCCCCATTGAGATCCACAACAGCGATCCTTGAACTCAAAACCGAGCTGCTAGCTGTATTTTGTGGTGGGTTAGAAAACCCCACAGCGCCGGGGGTAGAACCAGCTCTCCGGCAGCCCCTTTGCCAGGAAAGGAGCCAAAGACAGAAGATTTTTGGGGGGCTGGGAGGGCAGTGACCTCACGTGTGTGTGTTGTGTGTGTGAAAGCGCCCAACGTCTCCCCAATGAACCGCCTAAGAGACCCCCAAGTCCTCGCTGGATGTGGGGCTACCGCCTCCCCTTCTCCCATCCACTGCAGCCCTACTCCACCCCGGATTGGGGGGGGGGAGGGCAAAAGGAAGTCCATACTCCCCCTCCAGGGCTGGCCTGAACCCCCACTTGACCTGCGGCCCCCCAAAACTGAAAAGACCCCCTCCCACTTTCTTCACTTCTCTCTCTGCGACGAACTAGCCCCCCCCCAAAAGAAAGAGAGAGAGAGAGAGAGAAGCATAAGATATTTGTCTTTATGTATGTTACATTTTTTATGGTGCCCATCTTGTCTGAAACGGTATGAAGGGGATGAGAATAGATGACCTCCAGGGTCCCTCCCGTTGTTCTGTTTTATGATATCTCCCCTACAAGGAGACTCTGGGCGGCTTACAGGTTATGACTGAAGACGGGATATATTGAAATCTCCTAACATAATTTTCCCTGGGAGGGAAAAGGAGACGGGGGGGGGGGCGAAACCTCCGAGGGGGATCCGGCCTGGAAGGGCTTTCGGGGAGACGGTCGGAGTCCCCGTTTCTCCGGAGCGGCCCAAGGGCTCCTCCTGCCTCGGGCGGCGGGCGCAGAGAAGCGGCGGCTCCGTCCTGGGAGTCGCAGCCCTGCGAGTCTCCCTGAGGCGAAAGGCCCGGAATCTCCTCCTCCTCCTCCTCCCTCGGCTTCCTCGCCTCCTCCGCGCCGGAGCCTCACGGCCTCCCACCCTCCTTCCCCCACGGAACCTTTCCGGGGGGTTCCTCAGGAGAGGCCGGGGGTCCCTGCCCTTCCGCTGGGAGGCCGAGGGAGGGAGAGCCCGAGAAGGGCGGCTGCGCGGAGGGAGGCTTAAAAGAAGCCGGGGAGAAGGACGAAGGAGGGACCGTCCTTTCCCCGCTGGGGGCCACCCTGCCCGCCTGTCCCGCTGGCCGCCACCCCCGCCAGACCCGAGCTGGGCGTCCAAGCGAGGCTCCCGGTCCTCGTCTTCCCACCGCCCGGCCGTTTCTGAGGGGACTCCGGAGCCTTCCGAGGACTCCTCCGATCTCTGCGCAGCCCTCAGGGCGGCGGTTCCTGAGGGAGGCGAGTTCGGATCCCCTCAAGAGGCTTTTTCCCTCCGTCTCCACCGACGGTTCCTGGGCAGGAAGGAGGAGAGGAAGGCGGAGAAAGAGCCGCCTCCGAAGTCCTTGATAGGGAGCCACGGAGAAGGGCCTTTCGCTCTACTCCCAGGCCCGTCATCCCCGCCCTTCCCCCTCCCATGCGTTCCTCTTTCCCGCCCTTTCTGCCATCCTGGCCTTTGGCCCCCAATCCACCAGGGGGCGGCCTCCGCCAAGTGAGGGGAACTGCAGGCGCTTCCCCATTGGCCCACTGGAGGGCGAACGCCACGGCTCCCTTCCTAAAGGGGCCGAGGCAAAGGAAGTGACATTTTGAGCCTTGCTTCTCTAGGACGTCGCACTCGCTCTTCTCAACTCCAGGGGCGCCGCAGGAGGCGGAGCGGCTGCGGGAGAGTTTTGAGGGGTGATTATCTAGAAGTGCTCCATGTGAGGAGGGGGCTCTTCCCGGGGCCTATGCTCTCCAGCCGCCCTCTCCATGCGATGGGGAAGGGAGGGTGGGCCTAGCGGAGACCCAGCAGGAGAGGAGAGAAGCCGTGGGAGGAGGAGGAGGAGGCAGAATTTGCACCAGGTTCCTCGAGAGCCCGATCCTGTCTCCGGAGGGGGGAAGAAAGGGGGGGGGGCTCTCCAGCTGCCTCCTTCCCGGCCCTGTTCAGGGGGCCCTGGGCCCTGCGCTGGGAGGAGCCGCTTGGGGCTGCGGGCAGGTTGGAAGAAGGGGGTCCAGGGGCTGAATCCCCCTTTCTGATCCTGGGCGTTGGTTTTTCTTTCCCTCCCAGATCCGGAACCTCGGAGCCCTCGGCAGCCTTTGCAAGCCAGGATTTCCTCTGTGGGGGAAGGAAGGAAGGAAAGCAAAAAAAAACAGCAGAAGGACCGGCAGGGATCTGTCCTGTGGCCTCAGAAATGGTTCCATGAAGGAAGAGGCCCCTGGAGACCCCCCCCAGAGTCCCTGGAGCCTTTGGAGTTGCTCTGCCTGGGAGAGAGGAAGGATGGAGACACCCCCTTTGGCCAAAGAGGGGAGTGGAAAAGGCCCTGTGGTTCTTCAGCCTGGGAGCTGTGGGGAGAGCTGGACCAGAACTGGGCAGAAGGTCCTGCAGGATGGTACCATCCTCCCTTCAGAAATTCCACCTTGGTCCTCCATCCGATGCCAGGAAGCTGAGGGACCCCGAGGACTTTGCAGCCGACTCCATGACTTGTGCAGGCGATGGCTGAGGCCAGGAAAGTACAGCAAAGCCCAGATGCTGGACCTGGTGGTTCTGGAGCAGCTTCTGGCTCTTCTGCCCCCAGAGATGGAGGACTGGGTGCGGGAGTGTGGAGCAGAGACCAGCTCCCAGGCGGTGGCCCTGGCGGAAGGCTTCCTCCTGAGCCAGGCGGAGGAGCAGAAAGAGCAGCTCCAGTGGCAGGTGGGAGACTTTAGGGAGCTCAGAAGGGAATAAAGAGAGAGTGCTTGAATGCTTCACCCCTCTTTCCCAAACTTCTCCCACGTTGATAATATGAGGCAGTTCTCCTGTTCTTGTAGGACATTGTTCCATTGATTTTTCACTCAGCCACACAGATGGATATTGGGGGCTTTGAAGTTGTGTTCCAAATACAAGAATCAGCTTTGTGTCATGTGATGTTCATTAATTCTGCTTCTTTCTTTCTTCCTCTTATTTGAAGTACTGCACTGTGGAGATCAGAGATCCTGAGGGAAAGAAGAACCCATCAAATCCCCTTCAGGAGCTATTTTTCAGGAGGATCCCTTGGGAAGATCAAAGTCAGGACACCTCAGGAGGTAATGGAAGATCCTTCAATTCCCCATCTGTTTTACCTTCTCTCTCTCTTCTCTAGAATACCTCTTCCTATTTTGTTAATTATGCATTTTGAAATTATTTCTTCTTTACAGAGGAGCAAAGAATGGAGCTTTCTGGTTTTTATGATGGAAATGAAACAGCGATTGAACCTCCAAAACAAGTAAGGAAGGGAAAAGATATTAGATTTTTATTCTCCCTTCAGGAAGTGGTGCCGGTGTGCAGAGGGCTTTCTCCTTCTATTAACAACCCCCTTGTTTGTCCTGGATTATTTTTGTGTTCTTCCACAACATGGACACCGGAATAGCAGGTTCAAGTTGCTGTCGGCCAGCATAGCTTCCTCTGGTTATCTTGTTCTGCTAGGTTCTTCTCCATCTTGGAGTTTACAAGAAGCAATTTTTTAAAAGTCCTTCAAGAAATACGAATAAAAGTATAACGGTGGCAGGAACTTCTAGAGACCCAAATTTTTGGTAATTCTTTGACTCGCAATTGTGCAAGGCTAATGAAAAATAAATAAATACATTGCCACATGACCATTTTTAAAAACCCTTAAAAACCAGGTTCGCACAAAACCATTCGGGCCACTGTATTTTGCACCAACTGTGGCCTCTAGATGCCCTATGTAGAGCGCATTGCAATAGTCAAGAGAGGAAGTGACTAGAGCATGAGTGACTGTGAGTAAGGACTGTTGGTCCAGGAAAACGTGTAACTGGCGCACAACCCGCAGATGCACAAAGGCCCTCCTGACTACGACTGCCACTGCTCTTCAAGTAGGAGTCGTGAGTCCCGGAAAACTGCTAGATTACACACAGGGCCTGTTTGGGGTAGTGCCACCCCATCCAAGACTAAAGGTGGCAATTCTACCTGAGCCAACAAACCCCAAGCCTAGAGCCACTCAGTCTTGCAAGGGTTTAGTTTCAACCCGTTGCACCCCATCCAGCCCCTAATAGCCTCCAGGCACTGCGAGAGGAAGGACACAGCAACACTTAACTCATCAGGGGCCGAGAGATACAGCTGAGTATCATCAGCATATTGGTGATACCTCAGTCCATGTTGAGTGATGATCTCACCCAGCGGTTTCATATAAATGTTGAACAGGAGCGGAGAGAGTACTGAGCCCTGCGGAACCCTGTAAAGCAGTGGGCGAGGGTTGGATCCCTGTCCTCCTATCAACACTGACTGAGAGTGGCCTCAGAGGAAGTGAAACAGGATAGCAAAAGCCTCCCATTCCCATCCCCCGAAGCTGCCCCAGGGGAATCCCATGGTAGCTGGTATCGAAATTACCTTATTAAAAAGTGTTGAAGGTTTTGCAGAATCAATCAATTTGATAAAACTTCCTGAAATATTTCTTCAGTGAAAGCAATTTTCAGATTTGGCCATTTTCTCACCTAAAATTGGGACTTGTATGACACACAGCCACTTAACTTAGTGCATATCTCTGCTTTGGGAATTTGGGAACAACAGAATGGAATAACAGAGTTGGTAGGGATCTTGGAGGCCTTCTAGTCCAACCCCCTGCTCAGACAGGAAGCCCTATAACATTTCAGATAAGTGACTGTCCAATTTCTTCATAAACACCCAGTGTTGGAGCAACCACAATTTCTGGAGACAAATCATTCCACTGATTAATTGCTCCCACTGTCAGGAAATTTCTCTTTACTTGTAGGTTGGTTCTCTCCTTGAATAGTTTCCATCCATTGCTACTTGGAACACTGCTATCATATCACCCCCCTGGTCCTCCTTTTCATGAAACTAGACATTCCTAATTACAGCAACCGTTCTTTATGTTTTAGCCTCCAGTCCCCTAATCATCTTTTTTTCCTGTTCTCTGCACTCTTTCTAGAGTCTCAAGATCTTTTTGGCAACCAAAATTGGATGCAATATTCCAAGTGTGGTCTTACCAAGGGATTTTAAAGTGATACTAACACTTCATATCATCTTGATTCTCTCTCTCTTAATGCAGCCTATGATTCTGTTTGAGTTTTGGGGGCAACTGTAGCATAGTGCTGACTCATGTTTAAGTGGTTGTCTACTAGGATTCCAAGATCCCTTTTGCATTTACTATTGTTGAGCCAGGTATCACCTATTCTTTGCCAGTGCATTTTGTTTTTCTTTCCTAGATGTAGAACCTTACATTTCTCACTGTTTATTTCCTTTTGTTAGATGAGGCCCAATCTGTCAATCCTTCTATATCCTGAGCTTATCTTTTGGATTGTTGGTATTCCTTTCAATTTGGTCTTGTTTGCAAATTTGATGAGTTCCCCTTCTATCCTCTTGTCTAAATTAATGATGTGTTGTGTTCTTTTTTCCATGTCCAGGATGGTCTTGTGTCCTTCGAGGAGGTGGCTGTGTATTTCTCTGAGGAGGAATGGTCTCAGCTGGATGCTGACCAGAAAGCGCTGCATTCGGAAGTCATGCTTGAAAACCATAGGAACGTGGTCTCTCTGGGTAAGAGTTTTCTAGTCCCCAATCAAGAAGAGAGATTATAATTAGTTTTTTATTTAAAAAACACTAATCAAATATCGTCTCCTGGGAGGAGGAAGGAAAGGATCTGGCCTTGACATGCTCTAAGGAAGGAAAGAGTCAGTGTCTTTTTGCTTAGATGCTTTCTGTGCCATTTCTTCTCTGTATTTTTCCATTTCAATTTGAAATTCTCTGTGGAGGCTGAAAAGAATGAAGTGCTTTTATGTGTCTTCTGGAGGACATTTGTCATTTGTCCTCTGAAACCTCCAAAATTGTGTGAGAATAGAACTTTCACCCCTAGGCCGTGGAAGAGCACTTTCCCAATCCAATTCAAGAACAAAGACCTCATGCAGTGTGACTCAGAGTATCCTAGGGTACAGGTAATCCCCGAGCTACAACAGTTCACTTAGCAACAGTTCCAAGTTACGACCAGCCCTCCCCCAAGTACTTGAGCCCCAGTTCCGAAATGAGTGTTGCATTCACACTTACAAATGACAGCAGAGGCGCTGCAACAAAATTCACCCTACCTATGCCCCCACCCCATCCCCTGCTGAGATTTATCTTGCAATTATGTGCCGAGCCGTCGGTTCCTTTGCCTACTTCAGTGCATTTGCAGAAAAGAGTCCTGAAGTGGTGAGAGATACGTAAGATCAGCAGTGGGAAATCTAACTCTATTGATCTCACATGATCTTGCACTACAGTGCTTTAGGCCTCTGTTCTCTCTAACCAAGGCCTGCACGAGATCCAGGGGAAAATGCTTTTCAAAGAGAGGGAAGGTCTCTTCATTTTCAAAGACTTTTGCCCTGGATCTCATGCAGTCCTTTATTCTTAAAATAACACAGGCGTGAAGTACTGTGGTGTGAGATTAGTAGCCTGAGATCTTGCACTACTGATCTCGTGATCTCTTACTAAAGTACTTTAGGCCTCCATTCTCTGCGAATACCAGATCTGGCCAAAGAGCCCTTGCAAGCCGATGAGACTTTGGGGCAGCGAAATAGCCATTCTTGAAGCCTCCCAACTTTTCCAGTCTCAGCGCAAAGAGCGTTTACAAGGCAATGGGAGGCTTCAGCAAGGGGTTTATCTCCAAAGTCTCATTGCTGGGATTAAGGAAGAGGCCCAGCGGGGATCCTGCCAGATGGACACCATGGAGCAGCTGCTCCAAGGTACACCAGGGAAGAAGGAGATTGTTTCAAAATTGTTTCATTTCTCACAGGTCTCTGCTGAAATTAAGCCACCCCAATAAATCTTAAGTTTTCTCCTAATTCCTCCTGGGATGTTTCCGCTGATTATTCCTTAACTCAAAACTGACTGAGTGAGATTTGCATATATATAGATGATTGTAAAGTAAGAGATGTTGTTCTAGATCAGGCTTGTCCAACCCACGGGCCGCATGCGGCCCAGGTCGCCTCGTAATGTGCCCACCCCAACCATCGTGCCACAGCCAGCGAGAAGGAGGAGGAGAGGCAGGCGCGAGGCGGGGTGAGGCGAGCGCCAGGCCAAGCAGCAAGAGAAAAGGCGGGCGCCGTCAGAGCGCCACCTGCTGTTGCCACCGCGGGCACCGCCGCCGCTTCTGCCCTGCCACTGTTGCTGCTTCTGCCCCCACCGCTGCTGCTGCCCCCGCCGCCGCTTCTTCTCCCGCCGCCACCCCCACCGCTTCTTCCCCCACCACCGCCGCCGCTTCTGCCCCCGCCATCGCTGCTGCTTCTGCCCCCGCTGCCGCAGCCCCCGCGGTGGGGGCAGAAGCGGCGGTGGTGGCGGGGGCAGAAGCGGCGGCGGCAGGAGCAGCAGCGGTGGCGGGGGAAGAAGCGGCGGCGGCGGCAAAAGCGGCGGCGGTGGCGGGGGAAGAAGTGGCACGGCGGCAGCAGACGTGGCAGCGGCGGGGGCAGAAGCGGCGGTGGCAGAAGCAGCAGCGGTGGCAGGGGCAGAAATGGTGGCGGGGGCAGCGGCGGCGGGGGCAGAAGCAGCAGCGGTGTTGGGGCAGAAGCGGTGGGGGCAGCGGCGGGGCAGAAGCAGCAGCGGTGGCGGTGGAAGAAGCGGCGGGGGGGCAGAAGCAGCAGCGGCTGCGGGGGCAGAAGTGGTGGCGGCAGCGGGGGCAGAAGCAGCGGCGGGGGAAGGCTTCTGCCCCCGCCGCTGCTGCTGCTGCTTCTGCCTTCCAGTCCTGCCTCATCCAGCCAGGCTATTTGCAGGAGAGGTAGGCGTGAGGCAGGCGAGCTTTCTCCCCCCCTTCCCCTCCCCCCCACAAAATGTGGCCGGAAAATAAACTGTAATAAAAAAAACTGATAAAAAAACTGTGATAAAAATTAAATAATTTTTAATAAATAATTAATAATAAATACATCTCACTAACTTTATTTTCAAATAAATTTAATACGTTAACTATGTTTTCTATGGTTTTTTGGGATGATCGGGTATCGTTACTGTTATTTTATTTTATGTGCGGCCCAAACCAAATTTTCATCTTCTAACGTGGCCCAGGGAAGGTGAAAGGTTGGACACCCCTGTTCTAGATATTTTCAAAGCTATCATGAATACAGGAATCATCATGTCTGTATCACACCAATGTAGGCATTCAAAGATACAACCTAGTGAGATTTCAGAGAACTTCAGAAGAAATTTCACTTGACTTTCTATATTTTGATCTTTTTCTCTAACCTTCTTATCATTTTCATTTCGCTTTTGCTTTGAAGGTAATAATGGGCAGGAGAAAGAAGATTCCTGTAAACTGTTCCAAGTGATCAATGCTAAAAACGGAATGGAGAAGTTTGGAATTCGAATGCAATTCAAAAGCCACAAGAGAAACCATTCAAAGAATTGGAATGAGGAAAACTCAACTTCCAGTGATGGGACATTAATTCTTTCTTTTGGAAAAAACTTCCTTACATCTCAAAAAGTGATTGACACAAAAGAGAAGCCTTATAAATGTTTGGAATGTGGAAAATGTTTTAGAACAAGCAGGGAACTTACTATCCATAAAAGGATCCACACAGGGGAGAAACCATATGAATGCACAGAGTGTGGAAAGACTTTTGCTCATAGCAGTACACTTACTATCCATAAAAGGATCCACACAGGGGAGAAACCATATAAATGTATGGAATGTGGAAAGACATTTGCTCAAAGAGGTAATCTTATTTCCCATATGATGATCCACACAGGGGAGAAGCCGTATAAATGCATGGAGTGTGGAAAGATGTTTACTGATGGCAGTGGGCTTAGAAGCCACAAAAAGCTCCACACAGGAGAGAAATCGTTTAAATGCATGGAATGTGGAAAGGCATTTGCTCAAAGAGGTCATCTTATTTCCCATAAAAGAAGCCACACGGGGGAGAAGCCATATAAATGCATGGAGTGTGGAAAGACCTTTCCTGAAAAACGTAATCTTACTTCCCATAAGATGATCCACACAGGGGAGAAGCCATATAAATGCATAGAGTGTGGAAAAACATTTACTCATAGCAGTGGACTTAGAAGCCACAAAAAGATCCACTCAGGAGAGAAACCATTTAAATGCATGGAGTGTGGAAAGACCTTTGCTCAGAGCAGTAGCCTTAAAAGCCACAAAAAGCTCCATACAGGAGAGAGACCATTTAAATGCATGGAGTGTGAAAAGACCTTTGCTCAAAGAAGTAATCTTATTTCTCATAAGATGATCCACACAGGGCAGAAACCATTTAAATGCATAGAGTGTGGAAAGACCTTTGCTCAAAGAGGTCATCTTATTACCCATAAGATCATTCACACAGGGGAGAAGCCGTATAAATGCATGGTGTGTGGAAAGACATTTACTCAGAGCAGTGGACTTGGAAGACACAAAAAGCTCCACACAGGAGAGAAACCATTTAAAGAGTAAGGAAATAACTTTGCTCTGAGCAGTAGACTTACTGTCCACAAAAAGATCCACACAGGGGGAAAGCCATTTAAATGTATGGAGTGTGGAAACACCTTTGATCAAAGAGTTACAGTGGAACCTCAAGTCAGGAACACTTCTGTTACCGACCAAATCAGATGACAACCAAAAATTTGGGAAAATAGTTGCTTCTGGAAGCGAACAGATCCTTAAATGCCGATCTGTACAGCTGCAGCGATTTTTCCTGCCATGGCGATTTGCCCTGCCGCACATGCCCAGAATTGTAGGGGCATGCACAGTCAATCTTGCTTCTGTTCACAATGAAATCGGGTTGTGACTGACGTCCCAGAACGGATTACAGTCGTGACCTGAGGTTCCACTATAATCTTACTTCACGTAAGGTGATAACACAAAGGTGAGAAGCTGTATAAATGCATGGAGTGTATAAAGACATTTACTCAGGGCAGGTCTTAGAAACCGCAAAAATATCCACTCGGGAGAGAAGCCATTTAAATGCATGGAATGTGGAAAGACTTTTGTTCATAGATGTAATCTTATTTCCCATAAAAGAAGCCACACAGGGGAGAAGCCATATAAATGCATGGAATGTGGAAAGAGTTTTCCTCAGAATGGTCTTCTCAAAAAGATCCATGCTCGGGAGGAACTATATAGCAATAGCAATTCCACTTGAGTTATATACCGGTCCACAATGCTTTACCACACTCTCTGAGCAGTTTACAAAGTCAGCCTATGGTCTCCAGTAATCTGGCTCCTCATTTTAACAACCTCAGAAGGATAAAAGACTTAATCAACCATGAGCCAGTCAAGATCAAACTCCTGACTGTGGACAATTAGCCTGTAGTACTACATTCTAACCAATGACCCACATCTATAGATTTGTATGTGTATGCATATTGTGTCTGTGATGACCCAGGGTGGGATACAAAATAAAAGTCACAAAAACAGGTGAAGCCCCTTTTATTCCTTCACTTTGCTTTAAAGCTCCAAATATCCTTGACTGGAGATTAAAAAAAAAACCTCCCCCACAAGCAATTATGAAAAGGAGGAAATGCCGTTTAAACTAAAAATATCTATAAATTATAAAGAGTAAAAACAACAGAAACCTCCACTGGAGCAATTAAGGGAACCAGGCAAGATAAGGGCTTGAAGGCATCCACAGATATTGGAACATACACTGGGAAGGATGCCAAACTCAAGAGAGGAACGACAGACTAGAGACATTTCCACGCTTTGTTTCCAGCACTGGCCCATACACATGTCCATCCTTTTAACCAGTTCTCACAGCTGCAGCCCATGAAGAGGATCAAGGCCCTTTCCTCCACAGTAGACCATGGCATTCACATCTCTCCCTTATCCTCTCCTCCCTGTGTGCCCTAGGATGGAGAGGGGATGGGCCTGGGTCATCCTGTTAACTGCCCAGCCAGCATTTGGCCTACCCCAGCCTCCTCCAAAACCTCTGGAGCCACACTTGATAGTCACACCTATCTACTCCATTGAGTGAAGTGAAGGGAGAATCTGCCCAGAGATTGATGATGCTAAAGAAGGTAGGATGTTGAGGTAATTCCCCGTTAGAAGAATGAGCGCATATAGGGAGACGTATTTGAGAGTAGTGTTTGAATAATAACACACAGCACACAGATACACTGTACAGTAAATGTTGGTTTTTACTTCCAATACAGGTTTTAAGCAAATTTCAAAACAAGCAGTCCAAAGTCATTCACAAGTTAAATCAGTCATTTTTCAGTCCAGGGATAATCCAATAACAAAGTCCAGTGTCAAAAACAGTTCAGTATCAAACTTACATCAAATCCAAGAATATCAGTCAAGTAGAAAGAACAGCAAAACTCTCCAACAGAAGGGAAAAGAGACTCACTCACACTTTCTTCTGAGACTAAGACTAAACAACCCAGGTTTCTGGCTCCATCTTATGGTCGTTTGAGAAACCACACCCAATTACACTTTTAGGATTCTCTTAAAGAGACAGTATTAAAATGTATATCCTGGTTTATATATTGTCCAACCCAAATAGCTGTTAGATTCCTAACAGGATTCTCATTGGCCTTCTGCTTTTCTGGGCGCTCCCAATTCTGAAGTCTGAGGAAAAGTCTGTGGACCCCCCATTCCTCCTCTGGGAGTGGGAGTCTCTGCATCTTCCCTCTCTTTGGGGGTGCTTGTGGGGCAGCACCCATGGGTTTACTGAGCTCCCCCTGATGCTGGTGGGGGCACTGGCTCGGATCCCCAGAAGTGAAAGGGGGAAGGAGACCCCTGGTAAGGAGGGGGCTGGGCGGGGGGGGCAGGAAAAGGGATGGGAGAAGTCATCAGTGCTCCTGGGGGAAGATCTTCACCAAAGGCTGGATAGATTAATTGGGGGGTGTCTGGGTGATCCCCCCAAAGAGGGTCCTTAAAAGATCCGCCCCGGCTGAGAGTACTTTGGTAACAATGTTTCTCTCTGTTCAGGGATTGTTTTTAATAGCACTTATTCCTATAATACTGAAGAACAGTGGCCCCCAACCTTTTTTGTGCCACGGCCCAGTACCGGCATCACAAAATGATCCGCGGCCCGGTACCGGCATCAGCACGCATGATAAGGCATTTCCTCTTCCCCCCCACCTCCCCTCCAGGTCTTCCCCAGCGACCCCTCCCTGCACGGAAGCCTCAGCTGGTGCTTTCGGGCTCTTCCTCACCCCCGCTGCATGAGATCCTCCGAGCTGTGGGCTAAAGGTGGCAGGGCTTCTTCGGGCTGATCGTGCAGGCACCTGACAGCTGGGGGGGGGAGAAGAGACCCGGGGCGTGACGTGGGTCCACTTTCCTCCCCACGGAGAACTTTTTTGTGTCCGGCGCGGATAGTTCGGCGAGAGGCGGTGGCTCTATAACCCCAAAGGCAGCTCTCGCCTGGCATCAGCACGTGCCCACACCCACACACAGAACACCCACTCAAACACCCACTCACTATCCCCACAGCGCGAGAATAACAGGAATAATAGTCTTCTTTCCCCCACCCTCTGCCAGCCACTAGCCTTGCGGTTGCGACTTGTGTCCCCGCTCCTTGGCTCGGTTTTTCCTGCAACTGACTCCCGCTTCACACTTTTGAAAGAGCGAGAGCGGCCTGAGGAGTCATTGAAGCGCGCCCCGTTGGGGGGGTGGGGGGGAGAGAGAAAGGCGTATTATTACATGAGCCTTTTAAACTCGTGAAAATGGGCTTCCCGGGCAAAAACCGTTTATTTACATCTGGGCGGCCAGAAATCATTTGCAAAACCGCTTTGCCTTCGCCAGTCCCCTTTGCAAAGCGCCGCTGTGGCTCTTCCTTCCCGAGGCAACACGGGACTGGAGCCGTGTGGAGCCACACCAGGCAGTAGCAACTCCTGACTGAGGGGGCCTCCGAGGGGAGGGGAAGGAGGAGAAGAAAGGGGCGGGAATGGGGGGAGGGGCTGATTCCCCCCCAAAATCAGAATTCTGAAGAATATCATGTCTGTTGAAACAAGATGGTGGCGCCCAGCAAACCGGCGGCCCGGTAGAAAATGATCCACGGACCGGTACCGGTCTAGGGCCCGGTGGTTGGGGACCCTTGTCCTACGGGACCCATCAATGGTAAGTATGGGTTGTAATCTATCTCAGCATCAGCAGAAACATGTTCCAGAAATTAGATTCCTGCTACATAAACCAGGTGCAAAAGTACACTGAGGCTGTAGAAAAAAAGCTGGTGGGAGGTAGGGAAATGGTATCCTGAGCGGAATAGAATAGAATAGAATAGAATAGAATAGAATAGAATAGAATAGAATAGAATAGAA